TTTCTTAAATATACATTTTATTTAAAAACCATTCCTTTGGATATCCTAATCCCCCATGAATATTCCACCCCTTAAAGTTCCATGTCTGGACCTCAAAGAGTACGATTTTCGATTTGCCAATAACCGTTCAATCATCGCGGCTAATCAATTGTTTCGAACAGGGAGCATCGAACGGCAAATGGAAATTGTTGCCTCCGGTGGCCAGCTTTGGGTCGTTCTTTGCTTTATGCATGAGGTGCCATAAATCACTTGCAAATTACCAGGGAATCGGCGAATCCAGCCAAGCAGCCATTCCACGGGGGCGGCCTCCTATAATAAGCGAATGTGGCTCTAACTCTGACTGTGACTGTGGCTGTGACTGCGAATGCACAATTATGGCCGCTTCGTTGGTCGTAAAACAAGGCAGGATCTACACTCGCCTTTGACCCAGCCCCCGTCACCAACACCGTATTTGCACCCCCTTTTACCCAACGCCTGTGCCCCGGCTGATGACTTTGTCATGGTTGCCTCCAGTTGCAGGCAGGCAGGCAAGCAGCGACATCAATAAAATAAACACTGACAGGGGGTGGTGATCAGGAGCTGGGTGCTGGTGGATTTTCCAAGAGGGGTTTGCCTGGGGCCAGGAAGGAGGAAGGACGAGGAGGTAGGGCCTGCACAATTGAACACGCGACATTTGGCCAATGTTTGCTGTTTGTTATCCACGATGTTGTCTTCGCTGCTGTTGTCGTCTCCACTTTGACTTTTATCTATTGACATAATATTTTTTTATGCTTCTCCAGCTGAAGGCGCATAGTGAGTGGTGCTACACTGTGGGAAAATCAAGAGTCTCTAGAAATTTAAACAAGAGACCGGGAAGAAGTGTTAAGATTCTTTATACAAAGTTTAGGCTGATTGAAGTACAATTTTCTTCATTTCCCAAAGAGCTTTAAAAAGCAAGCATTGCCTTATTGTTTCCCGATTTTCGATAGAATGGCAACTACAATTTCCCTCCGTGTTGGCTTTGGTTTTTCGCACTCCAGTCAGTGAGTCACTCAACGAGTCCTTTCTAGCCATTGGCTTAGCGTTGACGGCTTGCTTAGATTTAAGGGACACATTTGCAGCATAGTAAACGAGCGAAGATTCAATGTGATTAGAGAAATACAAAAGGAGATGGAAAATAGATTGGAAGGAGCCTGAAAGGGAGTTGGCGGGATTGAAAGCAAGTTTCAGTCGCATTAAAGAAGTTACTATCTAAGCGAAAGATTCACGCACAGTCAAGGTAAAGATTTAAAGCAGAATATACATGCTTTTTTGCAAAGGTAGTTAGCCATTTTTAACATGCCACAAATTTCTATTGTTCCATCGGTTTCAGCACTCGAGTCCTGGGCCAGGACCCGCTTTGATTGCACCCCATAGAAATAATAACGAGGTGTGCACGTGCTCCCATTCGCCGTTCGGTTTCCGAGCCATTCTCTGCTGCACTTTTATGGCCCACACACACAGAGAGAGACCCACACATCCAGGAGCTATCTCCGGCCATGTCCGTTTATGCAAGTGTTAAATAAAGTATCTGCCGGCCATTGTAGTTTATGCCGCTCCGCCCGAGTCGCTGACATTTATTGCTTGTTACAAAACGGGTTAGCAAAGGAGGGCAAAAGGATCTGAATGACAACATTTATTACGGCTCGGGCACATAAAACACAAGCAGGAGCTCCGTTTATAGTTCTTTCTCATATAAATAGAAGGTATCCGAGGGACCGCGAAGATAATGATAAATGGTCTTCACCGGTTCAGGATACTAATTAGGTTACTAAAGGTGCTCCTACACTGCACTCGAGAAAAAAATACCTAAGAAGAATGCAGTAGAACTATATAAATCGGAGGGTTTATGTTTATTTCTTTATAATTTCGAAGTTATACATATATTAGGAATACGCTAACAAAATACTATAAGTCAATACGACTATATAGTTAAGTTATACGTTATAGTTGACCAGTAAAGGAGGCATTAACGACCATATAAAGAAATCAAACCTCGACTTTCCGAGTAAGTTTTCATTTTTCTCTTGTATTGATGTAAATCCAATTCTATATTTTTCCTGCCATTCCATTATTTTTATATCTAAATACATATACTTTTCGATCTCCACTTTTTTCGAATGCTCTCAAATTTCAACAGAAATAGAGTCAAAAGTCGCCTCAGTTAGTTATCATTTATAATTTTCATGTTAGTTGAAAATAATCAACTCTTCCACTGGCATAATTATTATTGTTCCCGATGATGCCAAAAAATATTTATGCAAAACTTTTATTTTTCAATTTCAACACCAGCAGACGTACACAGGTATTTAAATTTGTTTTATTTAGTTGCCTTCTTTTCATGCACAGAACTTTTGCAAATAAAGCAGTTTATTGTCCTCGGGGGATTTGTAATCCACACAAGCGTTATAAGTGCTCCCGCACCTTCAACGATCCCAATCTGAATCCGAATACGAATCCGCATCCGAATCCCTGAGAAATCACTTAAAAAAGGAAGCTGCGAGGGGGTCAAGGAGCGGGTAGATCCAGGGACTTTTGGTCCTATCCTGGCAGCATTTCAAATTAAAAGCATTCGCCGCGTTTTATTGCTGTGCCTGCATTTTTCCCTCAATTTTTCCTGCTCCTGGACTTGGTATTGGTCCTGGCCTTGGTCCTGGTCCAGCTCCTGCGGCTGCCGCTTCCACTGCCGCTCCTTGTGCTGGTTCCTTCCTCTTGTTGGACATCCTCGTACAAATTTTTATGTCCATTTGGCTTTATTTCACACTTTCTTGTTTATTATTGCTGTTGCTTTACTGTGCTGTGCTGTGCTGGCCCGAAAAAAGAAAACACGGAGCGTGAAAAATTTAAGTATTTGACCTTTCTCGCTCCCCGCCATCTACGTCCAAATAATGCTGTTCCCATTGATTTATGCAGAGGCTTTTGTTAACCCTTTCGGTGTCCGCCTTTGTCCTTTATTCGACTTAAATGCTAACTTAATTGTTGTGCCAGTGTCCAGAAAAGAGGCAATTTACGTATTTTATGCCCTCCTCTAAGGGAGTGAAAGCAAGGCATTAAAAGAGTGGAGAAAATCGGGAGCATTCCATTAGAACACTTAATTTAGCGCAAAATGATTAGCGAGTGGCCATTTTCAAAATTGTTCAGAGGGTTGAAAAAATTGTCGGAGCGTGTGAAAATTGGGTGAAGATGTTGGTCAAATAGAAACCCTACTAATTAACAGCGTGTAAGCAAAATAAATAATAAATAAGCTGATTTACTTCATTGCATCATTTTATTTGCCAAAGAAAATTAGAGTCCTGATGCCCAAAGAGAAGAAGTTTTATAAACATAGTTATCCTATTTATTAACTTAATTTATTATTTGTCTGCTCTGTACTTCCAATATGAAACAAACAAAACACTACTAACACTTTCATAAAGCATTACAAAAATAGTAAATTTCCCGCAGTTAAACATCCGTTTTGGAATATTTAAGTCCAAAACTATTCCTTCATAGAATTTAGGATGTATGCGAAATATTACAGCAACCGAAATATGTGTAAGCACCTGAAGCGGAAGTCAATAAAATGTACACCATCAAATTTTGTATTTACAATATCCTCGTGATAAATTCTTGTTGCCAGTTTATACGAATTTCTCGTCCTTCCCTCATGTGCAGATTAATATATGCTTGCCATGGGTTTTATGAGTATTTTTTTCTCCGCATTTTATGGGGACTTGGCCCGGTCCCAGGACTTGGCCAAGAAACGGGAAATGGTAGCCGAAAATTGAATATTAAATAACCTCAAGCAATAAACAGAATTACGCATGACTCACATGCATACAGTTGAATATGTAAATTGTTTATGATATTAATATCCGTTTGTTTGTGCAATCATTTAAAAAGGATTACACGATTAACATCTCACAGTAGGCCAATTGATGAGAGCTTAAGGCGGTGCGGAAATTGTCATTTGTATTAATTTACGTAACCGAACTCAACTAACGCCTAAATAGCTGCCACTTTAAATAAAGTGATGTGAAAGTATTTAATGGGATAAAAAACAAATCAACAAATGTCATTCACAATAAGAAAGTGAAGAAATAAAATCATTATTTTAGAAAGAACACTCCCAACTCTTCGGAAGCCCAAAGATTCGAAAAGCATCTATTAGCCAAAACTGTCAAGGTAATCAATTTTAATGTTCGACCCAAAAGGTTGGGCTACAAATTTCCAACAATTGAAATGTGTGCGGCCTGTCAAAGGTTAAGGCGTTCTGTTGTATTGCCAAATTTGCTCTTGACCAACGGCGAAGGCGACAAAAGTGGGTGGGCAGAACCACATTGTCAATCAGGGAAATTCCTTAAACACAGCTATGCCTTGTCCCATTAGCCACCCTTTACCGGCCACCCATTTTAGCCCGGTTCTCAGGGTTATTTGGCAAAGTCGGAATGGCAAACACTTGGCTGGGGTCTCTGTTTGGGTTTGGATTTGCCACCTGGCCTAAGCCTGCTATGCGGAAATTTATGCATTGCAGTTGACTTATTAGGGTCTCTGTCCACCCCTCCTTTCCCCCGTGAGCACCGTGCCGCCGCCCATGTCCTGTTGTCCTGTTGATTCGCTTTGATTTGGCCGGAATGCCCCTGAGCTGGCCATCTGTGTGGATGTCGTTAGGGCTGCGCTTTGCATTCGGTCCTGGGCCACTCCGGGGGATGTGCGCTCGTTAATAGTTGCTAATTATGTTTAATTATTCACATAGCAGGTCGCCCTGATTTGTGATTTTGAGGGGAGAGCATTAAGCTCTAGGCAGAAAATCTTTTCCAGGATCCTGTATTCAATTAGGCATAATTTATATTTAATTATTAAATTTATTTACCAAGAAATATTTCCACTAGAAAATACCTTTCTGTAGCTGCATGTTTAATAATAAATAAATAACGAGGAGTTTTTAAATATATGTATTTATTTAAACTCAAAATATTTGATATATTCAGTTCACAAATACATTTAGCTTAAACATTCCATCCGGAATACATTTATTGGGAAGTTAAATAAATTTGTATAATTAATTCAATGAAAGTTGAATTTCTTAATCTTCTTCTTGAGGATTGTATTTTCTTCATTATCAATTGGTTTCGTCTTAATCAGAAAGTTTTAAGTTATCCTCCTCCTCCTGCTTATTTAACTCAATCTTCTCTCCTTGATTTTGTTTAGGTGACGGATTGGTGACTTCATTTGCCACTGAAGAATCATCCGTGGGTGTTCGATTATTGTTCTTAGAGTTGATTAGAGTTAAATCCTTCTAAGCTTGAAAATTATGTTTTTCTGTAAGTAAAGCATGTTTTTCTTTCTCAAATTGTACACATTTCGCATCCCAAAACTCCTTCATCTCTCTAGGAAAGTCAGCCAGCACTTCATCTGTAAACGGCTCTTCAGGATTATCTTGATTATCGTCGAAACGCAAATACCATGATATACCACTTTTTTCTGTACAATATAAGACGGGTTATCCCACTTCAGTCTATGGTTTTTTAAAAATCCTCGTTTTATCTTTATGCGATCAGCATCACCCTTCTTATGGATGGATTGCACTTTTGGGGCCATCTCATCATCGATTTCATTTTCCATAACTTCAAGATGGTTATACATCTGCCTTAGCCTTATGTCATGCTTTTTCAGCATCGTCATAGTTTTTCTATATAATTGGTTGGTAAAATCTTCAAGTTGATTTCGCAATTGATTTTCTTGATATTCCCAGAACTGTGAGTTTCTGTTTAACCTTTCCCTTGTTGCATTCCTAATATTGTCCAGTACCTCTAAAGTGTTATATTCTCTGATAGGGGCAAATCTCTGGGGAATTGAGCTGCTCTCGTTCTCACTGCCTTTCTCAGAGTCAATTTCGAACTGAATTTCTTCAATTTGTGGAACACCAACAATGGGAGTTATAGGCTCTTTTCCGTCAAGGATCTTCGGTGGGGTAATATTAATATCCTCAATTGCATTTGATTTGGATGTTGTGGTGTTGATATCATTAGTGCCTTTTGATGATATATTCATTTCTGCTTCTGGGGTCTTCCCTTCAAGGTCCTCCATGATGGGTTCTGGCAAAAGATATTTTATTACTATAAGTTCTCATGGATTTAAGAATCTTACCAATATTAGATTATTTTATATATTTAGGGGAGCTTACTTACTTTGTTCAACTGGTGTTTTAATATTAATATCTTCAATTGAATTTGATATTGGTTTGGTTGTTGCAGCGTTGATATCATTAGTGAGTTCTGATATGAAATCCATTTCAGCTTTAGAAGTCTTCCCTTCAAGGTCTTCCATCGTGGCTTCTAGTAAGATATATTTTCACTCAGATTTTACAATCATGCCAATATTAGGAAGATTTTATTAATTTTTTGAGGAGCTTACTTACTTTCTTCAAACTTTGCTTTCGGAATAGTGATTGTCAAGTCAAATCTATGCCATTTAACACATAACCTACTAGATTGAAAACTGCGTGAAAAATATACTAAGAAGTGTAAATGTAGTAAATGTCTATAAAAAATACCAAAAACCTGTGTATATGTTGTGTCAAAAGTGCCGGACCCTTAATAAATTCCTGCTTTTAAATTAGCTCAGGCAGGACTCACCTTAAAGGACGAGTGTTGCTCCTTGGAAAAGCCCCAAGTATGCAGCAACAATTCATCGCTGGAACAAGGCTTTTAATCAAGCCAAGGACCTCGCCACGCACACCCACCAACCCACAGACACACACACACACTAACATACACAGACGTGCTAATATATGTATATAGAGTATGCAAGAGGATATATGTACATATTTGTATATGGCATGCATACTTGGGTGCTCCTCGGAGACAGAGACACCATAATCACATGCGTTGCCGCAATTTCCGTTGCATACTTACTAGCGACGTCTCCTTGGACCACCCGGATGATATATAACTGCGATTTGCAGGCTGTAAATTTTGACTCTCAATGCGAGCGGGGAATTTGACATTTACTAATTGCCAGATTATGCAACAGGCCCGACAGATGCCACCTGGATGGCCCTTGAGAATACGGCAACCTGATCCGATATCCCCCCTATCGATGAGTTCAGGCGAAAAATGCTCCATATTGGAGCCCAAACCCTGCGGAAAATGAAAAGGGTTAAGCTGCACTTAACTTCCGAGAAGAGCGGGGAACGAAAACTAAGTTCTATTTCCGCTCGAATGGAGATTTCAGCAGATGTCATCGGCATATCGAAGGCATTAATTAATCAACGTTATGTTCGTCAGCCGAGGAATCTTGACTCTGTCATCTCTTTCAGGCGTTCGTTGGCATTTGATTATTTTACCTAGTAATCATTGACTTGACGGGTATATAAACCCACTCATAAAACTTAAATTTAATCAAGAAATATATCAGATGATGGATATTGTTTTCTGGATTCACAATCAATTTAAAATAGGTATTCAAAAACCCAAAGCGTTGCCAGAATATTTTAAATATATCATAATATAATTAGTTTCACTTCCTCAATGACTTTTGGAAGCACTCTTTTTTCCCAGAAAAATCAAATGCTAACCGCTACAAGGTATGTAATCTTTCTTAACAACAATGTACCGAGTATTTTAGAGAACTCACTCGGCACACTCGATTTTAGCGTTACTGCTGTTTCGTTATTTTTTTCCTCCCTTGTTTTCCTGAGCAGCATATCACTTTCGCAAATTGAAGTTGCTTTTTCTGTCCCCCGCTCTCTGTTGTTGCATGTGTGGCATGCTTCATGGCAAGTCATGCATATTCATTGTTTACAGGCACACAGAAACAAGCTCAAACAGTCTCTCAACAATTTCACCTGATTTCTACTTCCCCAATTATACTCCCTTTGGCTTATTTGCCATGGCATTGTGTATTGGCAGCCGAGCTAAAATTGTTCACATATGTTCATAGTGACCATCCGGGGTCTTTTCATTTCTATTGTTTTGAGGAAATCACTCAGATCATACATTTGCCATTTATGTTGTTTGACCCATAAACCAAACAGTAGGTATTCGGGTAAGAGGAAATGGGAAAATATACTAGGAGAGAGAGCTTGTATCCTCGCTTCGGAAAAAACAATGGTGATTAGTATCGTTTCTCAATCAAATTTATGGTGATTTATGAATTAAGAAAGAACTCCTTTTTAAAAACACTTCTAATGAATCACCATTTGCTACCAAATCTTTATCTTTCCGTCATAAATTCCAATACAAACTGCTCCTCATCTGCCGTTTGATAGCACTCCAGTATCTCAAAGATTACGCTCTTTTATTGCCAATTACCAGATACAAAGACATTTGCATATATACATATATTCACACACAACATATATCCTAGTGAACACAACCTGTAACTGCTCTTCTGTTTTCAATTTATATTTATTTATATTCCTGGACAACCATAAATTCAATGTCGTAGGAGCCCATAACAATCATAATCTTCGATATAATTTCCACTTTATGGTTAGCTTGCTGAATTTATATGTTTTTATGGTTGCAGAAAAGAAAAAAATACGAAAAGTAAACAAATAAACAATGGACAGGGGACAGGGACATCAAAGAGCAATTTCAATGCAAAACGCCTAAGATACACATGCTAACCATTTTCCCATTTCCCTCGATCGAGTGCAAACGCCTTCGAATGTGTTGACAATTTATGCTCCCTCCTTGTCCACACACACACAAAAACAAAAGGTTGGCAAGCAGCCCAAAACAAAGGAGATACAAATGCTGGGCCGAATAACATGTAATTTGACAAAATCCATAAACCATAAATTGCTGGCCAAGCTAGCACTAAAATTGCCCCATCCCTGAGGCATCCTCGTGCCAGTGGCTTTTCCTGTGAGCCACCAAAGAAAACTGTCTCGTAATCGCTGACAATAAAAAGAGAACCAGAAGCACATAAAATATTATCGATACCAATGCGAGTAGTTGTCAGCCCTGGCAGCCACATAAAAATCCCATAAGCCCATAAATCGCCATCAGCCAGCAGCCATCACGACCATTAGGTTAAATCAAGCCAAAGACGCGTCCCAAATCAGCATTGAATAAATATATACATATTTAGTGCTCACTTTGGGGCATTTATCATGCAATGCTCTCGGTGCCATTGTATTAAATGCCCAATTAGAGGGAGTTTCATGTCAGATTCCCCCGAATCAAGTCCAAAAGCGTAAATGAGTCGCAGATCATAAACTGTGGCGGAAGAACGTGTATTACATGTGGCTCTAATCATCAGTCATGAACTTGCCATGTTTGGGTTATAGATTTTGGGCTTAAAGGAATTAAACTGTTATAAGATTATAAGCTATATAACTTTCAGAGTTAGTTTTACTTGGAATTCAGATGTTAGGATTTTAAAGCTAGAAAATCTACTACCTCCGAGTCCTTGTTTCTCCAACACTGTTTTCCCAGGAAAGGAACAGGAACAGAACAGGAAGAAGGCCATGCTGCACAATTTAATTATTCAGTTAATTTGCTTAAATGGTTGACGGCTGCCGCAGCGATTCGAGTGTTGAAACAGTTTGAACGGCGAGAAAAAATAACGGAAGCATACGGGGACTTCCCGTTTTTGCCCGTGAAAGTTTGTTTGATGTGAAGCACGAGGAAAGGAAATACTACTGAAGGGGTTAAAGGAAGTGGAGGGCAAACATTTCGGCGCTGGGCTGCATCAAACACATGCAGACGGCAGCTTAAGCGCCTGATGCCTGGCTTTTCCTGTGCCTTCACCCAAGCCCCCATCATTCCGGCCTGCATTGGTTATTAAATTTGCGTGGCGTGTGCCCCCAGGTCCTTTGTGTGCCTGGCGTCCTCCCGGGATAGGCGGATATGTGGCAGCCTCAACTCATAGTTTACGGAGCTAGTTGGACTAACTAAGTTGTGTGCCAATGCCAAAACTTCGGCCCGAACTCGAATCCCCGGGCTTACCGAAAATGCGATTAGAATCAGGCCAACTTTGGCCACTAAAGGAATATGTGAAATGAATGCCAGGCAATTGGGGATTCAATAAAAAGAAGACAAAGGTACGAGTAACTCTAGGAAACGGATATCACATAACCAACATAGATTTGTTTATTATTGAAGTTTTAGTATATGAACTTAAGAACAAAAAAGGAAGCTAAATTCGAAACCAACTTTGAAATTCCATCACTAGGAATTAATGCAATATAGATTATATATATTTATGACAAAAAACAATAAAGTAATGCCTGCTTTCATTTCATTCAAATATACATTTTATATTTACAGTCTTACATTCACCGTTTTGCATATTCCTCTATTTTTAACGATCGTTTGTATGGCTATATTATATAATAGTCCGGTTTTCATTAAATTCTACACAACATTTTAGATTAATATAAAATGGCTATATATTAAATTTGATCAAAATCTGTTGAAAACTGGAAAAGTTATAATTAATTTTTTCTTTAATTTTCCGATTGTTCCTATGGCAGCTATATATGTGTATGTATATATATAGTCCACCGATTCGTTATGCTCCGACTTATATACTAGTCAAATTCTGAAGAAGAATAACTCCACAGTTTCATTCCAATAGCTTGCTCTTAAAATTGTTCCAAAACAATCTCGCAGGTGCATATGATTCTCAACTGGTTATAACATCCCCGGAACGAAGTGACTACTGCCGGCCGAGTCTCAGAAATGTGTTGTTTCAAAAGTTGCAAGTCATTGTTTATTAGTGTTCAAAGTTAGTAACTGATCATACATACCTCTTGGTCATGGATATTTACTAATTATAGTTACTTTCTAGTCATAGCTACTTACTAATTATAATTACTTACTTGTTATAGATACTTGCTGTTCAGAGTTACTTACTGCTCATAGCTACTTGCTGATCATAGTTAATTACTGGTCAAAGATAATTAGTGATCGTAGTTCTTTAAATCGTCCGACTGTTCCTTGGTCAGCTATATATATCCGTATATATAGTTCACCGATTTGGCATTCTCCGATTTATAAACTTGTAAAAGTATATAGAAGATTAACTGCATAGTTTCATTTTAAAAGCTTGCTCCTAAATTTGTTCCCAAACGAATCTCGCACATATGTACATATGATTCTCAAGTAGTTCTGACATCCCCGGAGCGAAGTGACTTCTGCCGGCCGAGTCTCAGAAATGTGTTGTGTTAAAAAAGTTGCAAGTCATTGTTTATTAGTGTTCAAAGTTTGTAACTAATCATACATACTTACTGGTCATAGATACTTACTGATTATAATTACTTACTGGTTATATATTCTTACTAAACACAGTAATTGCAAGGCAAGGGAAGCAAAGTTTGTAGCCGATGTACATAATCATCTGAGATCTATAAGGGACCCCGCGTGTGAAAAACCTCTAAGCATTACCATCGAAGCACCTTCTACAAGTACAGACTACAATCGAATTGTTTATGTCAGTATTATAAGAAATAACTAATTAGATTAATATTCTAATTATATATACTTTGCATTTACACCTAAATTTCGTTGATGATGACTACCTAAACGTTTACTATACAAATATGTAAAAAATAACCCTCAAAGTGGATTTGTTATGGAACAAACTTCTGCCTCCCAGCTCCCACCTCTTGTCTCCTGTCGAATCTGCACCTGTATGTCCTGTCTTATGCTCATCTCACCTGTCCGACCAAGAGCACCTAGGCACGCCCGCACAATTCAATTAATGGACATTCAAATGATATAAACCAGCTGAGGCACTTTTAGTGCAGTCGAGTGCTCCGATTCATTAGCAGGCGTCCGTCCCGATTGGATTGAGGTAATGCCAGGAGAGCTCCGAAGACCGGACACAAGCCACCCCTTCTCGTCCTTTCCGGCCATGGCAACTACAACACGTGTCGTATGCCCAGTGGCAAACAACAGGTGCAGGAAGGGAAAAAAGCACCGAACACAGCCAACTCCTTGGGAACAGAAGCCAGTACACATGGAAAAATTGGGGGAAAACCAA